TGCAAGCAGCAGCCGGAGCTGCCAAGCCCCAGGGCCACGGAGATGTCGTCGTCGTCGCCGCCGCCGGGGGCTGCCAGCGCCGCCATCTCGGCGGCGGAGAAAGTGGACGGCTTCACCCGGAAATCGGTGCGCAAGGCGCAGAGGCAGAAGCGCTCGCAGGGCTCGTCGCAGTTCCGCAGCCAGGGCAGCCAGCCGGAGCTGCACCCTCTGCCCCAGCTCAAAGGTAACCTCCCAGGGCGCAGCCCGAGAGCGAGCGCGGGGGCTCGCCTCCGCGCCCGCAGAGCCATTTTTTCCCGGGGGTTCCTTCTGCCCAGCTGAGGCTCATAGCGTGCGAGTCGACTTCCCCGCGGTGTCTTGGCGTCCTCCCCCTTTGATTCAAACAGGTTCGACGTTAAGAGACTGGCTTCTTGCTCCTCCTGGATTCACCTTAACTATTCCCATCTTGAAGGAGGCCCACACCTGTGCGCTCGCTTACCTGCCCTGGCGATTGGAACTCTCCCCTTGCGTCCCGCGTGGTAGAGTTCTTCACTCTTCCCCGAGTCTTACCCTTCCCCATCTTGCTTTAACAACTTGTCTCACCTGCCGACCTGTTCTTTTCGGCCCCTCTTAGCTAGTCCTTTACTTTTCCAATTATAAAGCGCCTGTGCCCACCTTCTCCCTAACTCCCCTTCCCATTGATCGTTCCTAAGAGTTTTACAGACCAGGAATCCTAATGCAAGCACCGGTTGAGTTACCTGGCCTTTAGATTTGTTTATAAAGAAAAAGCCTAAACACCTGACCAGTATAGTGTCTTACTGGGTCATTAGGGGTTTTGTTTCCTTTTTTTTTCTTTTAAGATTTAAATGTTACCCTTTAGCCCAAAGAATAGAAAGACTTAAAATCTTATTGTCTGAGAAGATACACACGGTAAATTTGGGCAAGTATTAAAGAGTCGATAGTGTTGCTTTGCAATGGAATGGAAACTTAGTTCGCCAAGCAGTGATTCCAGGGACTTTGTAAGTTTGTACAGTAATTCAAATTGGTATCCGTGCCTAATGCCTTGCAGGAGAACTTGGCACTCCTTTTGGCTCACTTACTTTTCCCACTAGGTTTAGAGGATTAAAAAAAAGAAGAAATTAGTTCCTGGTGTTCTAGTTTATTCTTTGTGAAGTACTACCTTTTACTTTTGTGATTTTAATGTCTGTTGTTTTTTTTTTGAGATAGAAATCATCATGGAACACGTAGATAATGCTCCTAAGCATTTAAATTTTTTTTTTGACAAAAGAAAACTGATAGAAATCTAGATCATCTGTTTTGCAAAGCCAGGAAATGAAAAGTTCATACTAAACTAGATAAATGTTCAGCAGATTTTGAGATCAATTTTTTTTTGAAAAGCTCCAGCTTCCCCTTCAAGGCCAGTCTGGTTTTGGTTTATCTTTGGGCCTACGAATTCAACTTTAGTTTGGCTAGGAGTCTAAAGAAAACCCCAGATCAAATTGACCTGCAATAGCTCTGGAACCCCATTCAGATCCTACGCTGCCCTGACTCTTGGGGTGCTTGTAAATTAAGGACATCCCACAGCCAGAATCAAACTGACTATTGAAAGGTTTTATTTAAAATATGTGTAGCCTGTGATATTGCATTTATCACTTACTCTTCAGCATTAAAAAATTGTTAAAATTTACATATCATAGTCAATGATAGACCACAATGGTTGGTATTGCTAAGACTTCTAATACTTGAGTGACACCATAGCTGTACAAGAATATCATCTTATCTATTAAGACATTGAATTGCTCTTCCTGAATTTTAAATTTTAAACTTAACTAAAACATCATAGTTATTTTTACATTTTTTTTTCATGAAATTGTCGAATTATTTTTGCAGTTGGAAGGTTTGGTGCCAGTGTTTTTCTTTCTTTTATTAAAATTTGCTTTTTAGTAAGATATTGTGATTCCTTGTGTTGTCCTTTTTAATATAAATTTCTTTATATTTAGTAAAAATAATTGAATATTAAACATATGGTTGGTTCATACCAGGAGTTTCAGCTTTACTATATTTTGTTTTTAAAAGCCTGGCAAAAATACTGGCAGAGTCAGTAATCATCTAAGTTACTTGGTGTATAGTTCAACAAGTTGAAGGTGCCATTGGATGTTTTATAGTATTTCTTCACTAATAGAGAAAAAAGTAAAATTGGAACTTTAGATTTATTCTGTATATTTTGCATAAAAATATAGTATTCTTTGTAAGGAAAGTTACATTTTTAGGATAAATTGAAGTAAATTTTATTGAGAAAATAAGATCTTTACTTGGATTACCCACTGATGGGAAAAACTACTTTTACTCCAGATGCCGAAATACTTGAAAGGTGATTTTTAAAATTCAGTTCCTTCATTTGGTACTTTGGCAGTGGACTTGATACCACAGTGTTGTGTGCTTTTTCTGTCAGTAGTAGTTTTTTCCATTTGTGGCCTTAACAAAAACCAGTGGAAAGCCCTGTAGTATGTGCATGAAAGAGAATTTTTCTTCCTGCTCTGAAATATTATCTTCCTGTGGTATCTGTGGGCATCCAAGATCTGTTAAGTGTTTATACCAATCTACTTATGTTACACTTTGTCCACGTGGATATAAACTGGAAAGGTGCCAGCTGTTTTCCTCAAAGCATGCTATGAGTAAGGATTAACAAAATAATCCCACTTTTTCATCTATAAGATGTTTATTTGTGCAAAATAATTTAGTAAGTGGGTTGCAGGATTTTAATGGTGAAAATGTTCAGAGAAAATTTTGTTCTGTTATACAAAGTATTTAAAAAACAAACCTTGTTAAAAGGATTTTTTTATGAGAAACTTTTATGTGGGCCTTGAAAAATTAAACTGCCTTATATTTTACAGCTTAAAAAATATTTTTTTCAAAATACTTGAAGTTTTTTTTATGTTAATTCTCCAAGCTCCTCTGAGAACTAGGTATTAGAAAATAAAAGAAATATTCTGTCATTTTTTTCTGTATTTAAATTTACAGTAGTATAGGCCTTAATTTTTGTACCTTAAACTTTTCCTTTGGTAGCCAACAGTTAGGAAACCTTGAGCTTTTAAAAAACCTATTAATAGGAAGTTTTTCAGTCTATCTAACTTATTTTGTGTGAGTCTCTAAATTGATTGGGTTGGTAAAACAGTAGATGCCTTACAGTTAGATAACATTTAGCATTTGCAAATTACTTTACACTTTTCTTTCTATTTTTAAATTATAAAAACAGGATTATTCATAATTGAAACAGTTAAAAAATGTGTAACCCCTAATCACTGTTTTTTTCACACCTGCTGAGATAATATTGTGTGACAATCCACAGCTCATTGTATTTTTACAAACATCTTTCGTTGGGTTATCCCAGAAACTCTATGCAAGACCAGTATTATTCCCATTTTATTGATGAGAAAATTGAGGCTTAAACAGCTTGATTTCAGGCCTGTGATTATTTATTTGGATGGTGTTGCAACTGACACTGGTACCCAGGTCAAATGATTTCAGTATTTTTGCTGTTAATCTGCTTTATGAACATTTGAAGCAGTGTGATAGAGTTGGGCCACTGAGGTCAGTCCTGGGTCAAAGGTAAGATTTTAATCTTACTGAGTTGTCTCCTTATCTGTAAAATGGGGATAATACCTTCGATCTCCCCAGGATTGTGGGGATTAAGTGAAATAATGTAATTAGTGCCTAAAAATAGGTAGTCAAAGAATGTTAGTTCCCATTCTCTTTGATATTTGAAAATCCAGATTAAAATTATTTTTAAATGAAGGATTTACATAAATAGTAAATGTTCCTAGTGTGCTGAGTATATATATTTATAATCAGTTTTCAGATCTGATTCATATGAAGTGAGGTGAAGCTGTAACATCAGCATAAGCATGGAAGTGGAAATAAGGTAGAGTGATTCAGTTTTTTTTTTTACCAAGCAGAGAAATCAACTGGTAGAATTGTATAATGTGCATTTCTCTTTAAGAGACAGCTAGTAAATAGCAAAGAACAGAATGAAACTGGTTTTGAGGTTAAAGTCCCATTCAGATGAGGTAAAGAACTACCCAAATTTCCTCAGTTTCTTGGTTGGCATATTCTTAGAAGCTGGAGATATTGAGGCCAGTAACAGTGGTGCTCATTTGAAGAGTCTTGCTTACCTTTAGGGAAAATTTGTTTTTCTCAGTGTGTGTGGTCTTCCAGGATAACTGGAACAAAAACACACCATCTGAAATTTCATAACTAACTTAACTTTTTTGTGCTAGTGGGGGACACTACTCACTCAACTTTAAGGCTGATAAATTTTTTTCAAAGTTAGTATCATTCTTTCTGAACCCAAAACCCACTTTTGTAATTGGAATGGCACTAAAGGAGAGTTGAAATTCATCTCAATATGTTAAAAATATTTGCTTGCAAAGAGATGTAACATTTTAGTCATTTTAGGACTGTCTTCTGAAAGTTATATATTTCTTCCAGTAGACTTATTTTTAAATTTTTAAAAACTTATTTAGGATATACTTCTAGAGAAATTGATGTGGTGTCCATTGCTGGCCCTCACATGAAAGAAAAACTTTTCTATTCAAGTCTAATGTAATATCTTCAGAATTCCTATTTAAGGTCAGATTTCTTTTCCCCCAATTTTATTACCTCTCCTGATTCTTAATTGAATTTTGGATCCTTTTATGAAGTGCCTATAAACTTAAGAATCCAGTAAAATGTATTTAAGTAAAATAGTGTGATCATTGGGATAGAGTACCATCCAGTAAATAGTAGACTTAAATTGTCTTCCTGCATCATTAATGAGTCAGTTGCTTTGGACTAGTTGTTTAACCCCTTTGAACTTCAGTTTAATCATTTTTGCATATCAGAATAACATTTTCCCTTGATAAAATCACAAAGATGAATTAGTCTTTAATGAATTATTGCCGCTCTCTGGATGACAAAGACAGGTTTATTAACAAAAATAAGATTTTTATGCATTTAAAATTTTTTTAACTTTTTAAATTGTTAAAAGCTGGGGATAGAGACTAGCTTATTTTTGTTTTTATGTGTTTTAGCATTCTGGTTCTCAGCCCTGGCTGTGCACTTGGAGAGCTTTTAAACAACATCAATGCCTAAGGTAGTATGCAGGTATTTGCATTTTTGAAAGCTCCCAGGATGATTCTAATGTACAGCCAGGGTTGAGAATCAGTGGCTTGGCATTATCTGTCTATTGATTTAATTCATTAATTGAGA